GCCTCGCGCTGTCGGTGACCGGGGGACAAGGCCACGCGGGTGGGGGACGGGGATTGGGTGCCATACCCGCCACGCAGACTGTCCTCCATTCAAATCATGGCCCTGACACGCTCTTGGGGTAGGGGCGGGGCAGTCCCGGCCTCCGGCCTCATGATGGCGAACCTGGGCTCATCATGACCCCCGCCCGACTGGCTTCATCTTGTCTCCCGCTTTTCTGACACCGCCTATGATTGGATTGATGAGCGCGGGTTGGAACTGTCTGGGACGGGTGGCCCCCGGGCCGGGTCAGGTCCTACGGCCCCCTCTCGATTTGGGTCGGAGCGGGTGGGTGTGAGCACCCGTTCCTCTCTGCTGCGCCATTTTGCCCTCCTCGTACGCAGTCGAATACTTTCATTTTTAGTTTTTAAATTTTTAGTATTTTCAATTATTCAACTATTTCTATAGTAAATGTGAGTAGTATTTAGTTTCACAGTCCCTGCGGTACCTTCTCGTGGAATTTTTACCCCCACACATGCAAGAGAGAGAAGAAGAAGAAATGAAAGAGGCAGCTATAGGAGGAACTTTGCCACTGTTTTGTTTTGTGTTGTTTTGTTTTTTCTATCGCAGTGATATGGCCTTAACTCTCGTTACAACCAAAAAACTTCAATGGAGAACGGGAAAAACATATATCACAAAACAAAAACAAATAATCGTAAAGGAAAGGCATGAAGGAGAGAAAAATGTGTTGCTACGATGGTGTGATCACTCACATTACTACATTGCCCCACTCCAAGGAACCACATCTGAGTCCCAGTCTCTCTCATGCTGACCTTATCTTTTTTCCACGACTGATTTATTGATAAATTTATATGAGTTTGTTCTACTGGGATTTGATTTTTCTGAGGCAGGATCCCATGCAGGATACTACAGAGAGGTGGCAGCAGGGAATGCAAATCTTCCATCTTCCTCTTTTTCTGCTCCAAAGCTACACAGATAAACTCAGACACACACACACACACAAACAGAAATAACTTACAGAGAAAAAGAGAGATGAGTCCCATGGCACTACTGCCACCCAAGCTTTAATCGATTCCAGGGGTCAGGATATTATTGGGAGGGAGAGGCGGATGGGTGTGGATGCTTGGCTGGCTTTGCTCGGCTTTTATGTTCTCTTTGCTCCAATGATTTCTATATATATATATATATATATATAGACACATATAGAGACAGATAAATCACACATATAGGAGCAGGAAAGTATTCCTCTGGTGGGTTTGGCTTGGGACAGGAAAGGGGATATTTGGGCGCCATGGGAAAACAAAAAAACAAAAAACCAAAAGCAAAAAAAACCCCCCAAAAACATTCTCTTACCCCTTCCTGTGCAACGGCATCAGGGAGAACTATTCAACCCAACAGAATCTCTCAGAAGGATATACATACAAAAGAGGATAGAAAAAGAGGAAGAGAGAAAATTAATAATAGGATGAATGAATATGATAGTTAAATAGGGATGAATAATTCTTTCTCGCATAAAAGACGGGTTGGCTGAACGGGTCAGAGCAGGGGGAGCTTCTTGGCTCTTTTTCCTCTTTTATTACTATTATTAGTATTAGTATTATATAGTTACATTTTCCTTTTTTGTTATTATTTTTATTTAGCCCTATTTAATGTAGTCAATCATTGTAACGATGAACGACTGGTCGTGTCGGGGTTGGGGTTCCTTTTTCTACCATTTCCATCATAACAATCTTCTTTGGATTTCCTTCCTTTTCATCTCTCTCTCTCTCTCTCTCTATTTATACACATATTTTTCTCGTTGCATCTTTCCTTTCCTCCTCCATATTTGTTTGTTTGTTGGTTGGGATGTCCTTTTGGAATTTTCTACTTTTTCAGAAAGCTTGAATGTTGATTTTGAAGGGTGTCCACACTAGCTCCTGGGGTATTTGTCTCTCTGCCACTTGGGTACATGTTTGTATATCTTGGTCATATTATACCCACTTCTATTGTTCAAGTAATGCCAAAATGTGACTATGGTACTATATGGCCTTTGCATATATATATAAAAATGTATACACACATATACACTGACTTCCTTTTGTGACTATTGGAAGTTTTATTTATCCTCAGTTCTTATTACTTTAGAATACATTTCAATGGCTATATTTTGTTCTGCTGTGTTTTAGAATATAAAAAGGATGCACGCATTTGTTATTAAATCAGGGCCATAAAATATTTTAGAGGCTGGGTAGAAATTCTACACACAACTGAATAGACTTATCTTGGGTGGCATGGTATAATTCCACCTCATACAATAGCCTCTTTTCTTATACATGATTTATTATTTCTAATCCAAGGTTTCTTAATTCATTTTAAGATCTTTTATGGATTATAATCGGAGTCTTCCTCCAACAGGGTCCACCACAGCCTGTCAAGCTAAACCAAATTATCATGAGTATATATATATATATATATATATATTGTTAGATCATACTTCTTGCAAACATCGTGCAATCTTAAAGAAGAAAGAAATAGAATGTCTATATTATGTGTGCATGTACAAATTGGCTGAAAATAAAAGAAACAATAATACACTGTTAATATTGTTTTCAACAAATTTTATGATTAAAAATTTGACTAGTTTTAAAAGTATTGTGATTATTAGATTGATGGTTGTTTGTATGTGTGATCTTCATGTCAAGTTTATATGTGTACATATTAATAAATATATAAACAAAAAGAAGGTATAGAACTGAATCATATCACAGATATATGTATAAGTGAATAGTATTAAGGTTCCCATATTAAATCTTTTCTAGTAAATGGAACATATTGATGTTGTGATTGCTAATTGAATCATTGTATACACTGTATGTACATGTTCACTAATTTTAAAGTTTAAGTTGATAAATAATTCCTCTAAAATTGGAAAAGTAAAACTATGAATATTAGAAGTTAACTTTAAAAGGATATAAATTGAACATAGCAATTATAACCACACGTAAGCTTGAGATCTTGTGTGCTATTGTGTTTTGACAACACTCCATTTTGCAACAGATGCTGCTGTGCTTTTGAATGTGACTTTGCTAAAGAATTTTTGGAGCATTTTAAAATCATTAATTATCATTATTATTATTTTATTATTATAAAATAATCCAGTAATATACTTTTAGTTTATTTAAGTTGAGGAAAGCGAGTGTGTGTATGTATATGTGTATGCATGTGTATATGTGTGTCTGTGTTTTGTTTTGTTTTGTTGTTTTTATTTTTTTTATTTGTTGCTCTTTTCAATAATTGTTGCTCTTATTATCTAAGTTTATATTTATAATGTTTCAAATTTAAAACATTTTGACGTTGGTGATGTTTACGAATATGGTTGAAAAAATGATTCTGTGCCAGAAAAATACCTATGATGCCAAAAATAATACAAAGATAAAAATGCAATAGAAACAATAGTTTTTTATAAAGAAAAACTTGTTCATTTTTCAGAGTAATTTACTTCATTGAATTCAGCCAAAATATCAGTTTCTCAAAAAACATATTGAGAAGTAAGTTGATGTTATTGGTATGACTGATTAAACAAGAATAGACAACAAACATTTCTTTGAGTCACATAATTCAATAATCCTAAGATTTGAGAGAACAGGTGGATTCTGTATATTTTTTTTACTGGTGTAATTACTATTAATATTTATAAAAAAATAAAAAAAATGTTTGAAACAGATTTCAAAAAGTATTGGCACTACAAATAATATTTTAATAAATATTATAAAAGAGTCCTTAACATACATGTTAATATTTGCATGGGCTCGAGCTATAAGCACACCTCAAGTTGCTACACCACCCCAAATTGCTATACACACACCTAAAAAAATGGAGACCTTTGATTAGTTGGTTTTTGAGTCGAGAGAGGGGCAATAACTACTTGTATAAATAAATAAGTTTGGATGTTTTTGAGCAGCTCTTCTTGTAAATAGTACATTTTTATTTTTATTTATTTTTGGTGAGAGAAAACTCATTATGAGAGAGAGAGAGAGCACAAAAGAGAGTTGAGTTAGAAAAGAATTGAGAAAGATGCAAAGACAAATACACACAATTGGATCTAGGGTTCTCAAAAAGGACTTTGAGGTTGTTTGCTTGAGCTTCCCATAGTTGTCGTAGGTGGCAAGCTCCACACAAGACTAACCAACTAATTAGAAGCATCTATTTTTCTTGGATGTGAATATAGCAATTGGAGGTGTGAGTGTAGGAACTTGGGATGTGCTTGTAGCTAGAGCCTTTGTGTTTTGTCTATGTAAATAGATGTCTGTATATATATATATATATATATATATATTTTTGAAGGCTCTCATTTTAAAATGAAATTAAGTATTTTTTCAAAATTAAAAAAACCATTTTTATCTATAATTTTTTTCACTATTAAAGTACACTTTCAACAAAAAAGTAAGATATGTAGTGATTTAAAAGTTATGGAATGGATCTCCAAGTTGTATACATGCATTTAGTGATTATGTTTGCGATTCAAAATCATCCAAACTAGTGTAAGATTCCTAGGAAATTAGATGCAAGACCATGGCAGCATGCATCTTACATTACCAACATTAATGCAATCTGCTGAGTGACTCGGCATGTGTCAAATAATAAAATACTAGTGACAGATTTTTGTAACATAGGTTGCTAGGAATACCAAAAATTCAGCATAGAATTTCAACTTCAACTATAAAAGCTTAAAAATTATGATGCAGCATTAAGATTTGATTGCTTTCACCCGTGGTACTTTGGTTATAGATAGGGATGATCGGGTACATTGCACACATTTCAAGTATCTTAACTTTACTTACATATTCTACGATTAAATCTGCATCCTCCACCCTAAAAACAATTCAGTCAGGAAACTTGTTTCATAGTTCACATGAATAGTCAATCCTGCTTCCAAAAGATCTCGATCGAAATGGGCTGCATGAAGTACAACGTAATTTCATGATCAACGGTAATACTACCACATCCACGAGATAAAGAGCTACTTTAGTTGTAACTATTTCTTATTTTATTTTTTTAAAAATGATACATGTTGAGGACAGTTACAAGCACTGAACAACGCTGCAGACTTTGCAGCCGATGCATGCTAAATTTCTGAAAGGCCAGCGATTTTGTGTACATAACACAATAATCTTGCTCCCGTAGACGTGAAACCTAACATAAAAATTCTGATCGACCTAATTACAAAGCAAAAGTAGTATCTTCTCTTGCCGGACGCATACATACTAGATTTTAGCTCGTCATTTGAACTACAGAGAAAGTCACAGTGTCAGGCTGAAATAGATTATTGTGGTACCACGCCTACAGCACAGGTTGCATGGTATACTTAACAACTCGGGTAACACGTCCTACTTGAAACAACATGCTTGCAGGTCTCTGACAGTTGGCCGCTCTCCTTGACACGCATATCACCCTGACAATATTATGTTACATGTGCAACCTCAAGATTCGAGCTCTGGGGTTTTCGGCTAGTTAGTGTTGTCTACTTCTTAGGGGGAGGAAGGTCCAAGTCAGACACATATGGCTCTTTTCCCTTCTGCACTAAAAACAATCAAATCATTACATATCGTTCACATGGATAACAAATGATAATTTACTGCACAAATATAGTAGAATCATAACTACCATTGGAAGTGTCATACCTGTCCACTGGGTCGGTCCACTACTCCACCTCGCGTGAAGGTTGTTAGGGGATCAATGTTCTGAGGATCATAGGTCTTCAGAGGATTTCGAGGCAGCCCATCACCGTCGTTGGGAGGGGCTTTACTGGTGTCAGGGGGGTTGTTGATGACAACGTAACCACCTAGAAGTCCGCCGATGAGGAGGAACAAAAAACCTGCAAGGAAAGGTCCCTTCACAGCCAGGGGGTTGATTCCTAGTTGTCCAAGAACACCCTTACCAGTAATAACCTCCATGATAACAGCAGCCTGTCGCAGCAGATTATTTCACATCAATATCTGACTAGACCTGGTTGTGTGTGTTTTTGTGTGTGTATGTGTGAGGGAGAGCGAGCGAGCGAGCGAGCGAGCGAGAGAGAGAGAGAAGCTGGAAATGTGATCACTTCTATGGTTAGACCTGAAGACAATACATCTTGGCACAACACATCTTCTGCCAAAGGTTAGAAGCAGTGGAACCCTCCCGCAAGTGCGTAATGCCGTATAGCTCTGTAGCAAACTAGCAAATAGTCGTCTTCTACATCATACAGTGTTTGGAAAATATCCTTTCAGCAAGGGCAACTACACTGCCACCTCGTCAGACAATGTAGACACATGTCCCATTCCAAACTGTGACAATAAAGTATCCCATTTCGGATTCAACCATTAACGTTGTCAATGGTGCATCACACATGGGACGAGAAGAAATATTTCATGGTATTCCGTAACAAGATGAACACCTAATTGGAACGTGAGACGTATAATATGTAAATTATGTTCAACGCAGAAACGAATATTCGCATCCCTAGACTTTGACACACAGGAAGGATACTAACAGATTAGGAGAAGGATAGCGAGATTACCGCAAAGCCGACCATAGCTAGACGACCCACTTGAAGCTCTTGAAAGCGTCCGAATCCGAAGAAGGAGCCCTTGCCACCCAAACCGTATCCGCTCATGTCATCACCCGCTCCCTCACCATTTGGTTCTTCCGAAGCCCTCACTGCCACACAAAAAACAATCTTGTAAGAACTGAAAGATACCGCATAACCCATATCCATCAAGACATTCAGCACTAGGGCAGGAATCTAAGGTCCTAACACTTACCTACACTAAAACATGTTCACACTAATGTATGACCGGGCATGGTGAGAAAAATAGAAATTAAGGGACGCCCTGCAAGACCTACGTTGGACCTCAATCTTTACAATACTTAGTCAGAGACGGTACGATGCGGATGCTCGATTTAGATCGCGTCTCTATGTGATATTAAAAGGAACAAGAAAAAAAAACATCAAAGCTTGTGCATGCACGTCGTTTTCGTAGCACTTTTCACTGCAGCTCAACAAGCTCACTTGTTACCCTAGAAAAATACCAACTCAAGATAACATACATTCAGACACTCCAGTCAGGAAGGCTTGGACCCAATGGATAGTGGCGTTATAGACATGACCTAATCCGTGCAGATGATGAGGGTTTCCAATTCACATGTTAGATAATGTAATTTGCATGTAACCTAACCATCCAAATGCTAGTCCAAAACACAATTACATATCACCATTATATCAACCACCAAGGCGCGCGAGACATTGCGTGGACACATTACCAGTACAAAATTCAACCCACTTAGCTACAATAAGCATATACAAAAGACAGGGTCTTCCAATCCATACCCGACCACAAAACCTCTCCTGCTCAGCAATCTAAGTGAATAAAACAATCATCCAGGGCTCTATACCTAACAGTAAATCGCACTGCCTTTGAAACGTCACATGCCGAGCAGCGGCCACTCGCAGGTGCGTCACGGCAGCCGGCCGCCATCCTTGCGACCCACTAGCCAACCTCGAAGCAGCAGCCGCAATCCCCACCTTTCCAAAACCATTCTCCCTGCTCGCTGCCACTGCTTGACCACAACTTTCCAGATTCGTCACCGCCCGCATCTGCATCGTAAATTGCGCCATCTTCAGAGCTGACAAATGGGTGTCGAAGCCAACCCAGCAAGGTTTGAGGTGCACGTCGACTCACAAACAAGCATCAATGCAAAGGATTGTGAGGGAACCCAACAGTGAGCAAGAACAGATTCCTGAAAACGGAACAGCAAAAACAAAAATCTGTGAGGTGATGGTGGTAAAGACAAATGGGTCAGAAGGGCAGCGAAGGATAAGTAAAGATGGGCCCACGCCATGGCTTCTTAAACCTGCAGCGCGGCCATGGCTGCCCAACTTCTTCTTCCTCCTCCTCCTGTTCTTTTGAATTCTCTTAAGGAGCATGGCTGCTGTCCTCGGGAAGGGGGAAGAAGGGGAACAAAACACACCACTGCGGAGAATTTGCACTTTAAAAAAAAAAAAAAAATTAAAAATCACAGTTTTGCTACTGGGTTTACTTTTTTTGTTTTTGCAAAGCTTCTTCATTTCCAGCTGTTGAGAGGAATTGCAAATCTTGCCAGCTGAAAGTCGCGGAACAATTCAAAAAATGGCCCGTTCTAAGTACTAGCATCCTGCCTTGAAAATGCATGTACATATGTATATATTACATTTTTTTTTACCAAATTTTATTTAAATATGTATGTATTTCGAATCTATTACGCATTAGAAAAAAATTGTTAAATTATCATCGTGTATTACAAAAAAATTGCATGTAACATAGCCAAATGCTTTGCAATATTTTTGAGTAAATATCTTGATTTCTACTAAGATTCAATACTAAGCGTTTTTATACACATATACAATTTTTTTTCATCAAAAGATCCATAATGCAAAAATATTAATATATTTGTTAATTGTTATGCCTCTTGTTACATGCACACATAATCAACTCTAATTTTCATAATTTAGAAAAAAAATAGATTTTTATTATTTCTTTCTAAAATTTCAATATCTACAAGTAAGATCAAAACTACTTTTAAAAAACATAAATATCAATTAAAAGTCACTTAATTATATTTTCATATAAAACTTTATATCAATTTTTAGTAACTTAAATAATTTTAAAATAAATTACATTTTATTGAACTTCATCATTTTTATTTAGAAGTGATGTTCTTAAAATTAAAGATTTTCAAAAAGAACAGATTTAAAATAAATCTATGGTTCAACATTCTTGTAACTCTAATGAGATTCTTTGTAATCTTTTAAGAAATACAAATATTATACAATCATAAAAAATATATTTTTTAATTGTATTTTTCTTCCAAAAATAATACATCTAAGTATAAAAAGTTTCTAAACTTTGTATCATTTTAATATTTTTGTTTCTTACATAGATAAAGAAGCATATGCACAATGCTTATAAATCATAATAGAAAATTTTTAATCTAATCTTTTTGAAGTACAAACCAAGTATTAGCAAGAAAACAAGATATTTTTTAATATGCAACTTGCAAATAAATTTTTTTAGTTTGATAAATAAATATTTTCTAAAAATTTCTAAAAATATATTTAAAAAAAAATAGATATTAAGAATAATTTGGTTGAAGACAAGATAAATTGGTATTGGATAGAAGTTAATAAGATACAAATGTCAACAATTGTAAAATTTAATGAACAAATTTTAAAATTTTAAATTATTATAAATGGATATAGAATATTAAAAGTTATAATAACCTTAATATATAATTATTGTATAGGAGACAAGAAATAAAGACTTTGATTTATCATTTTGCCTTTATTATAATGTCACTGTAAAAAATGCAATCTATAGCATTATTGATTAACATTATTAGGGCCATTGTGAGATCCACGTTTTTTATTTTTATTTTAAAAGTTTAATATCTAATTCTTATTTTATATATTACTACTTTAAATTTATGTCATATTTTAATGTGATTTTTAAATTATGGTTTTTTATTATTAAATTAGAATAAAATGTGATGTTAAATTCAATTATTAGTAAGATTTTAATTTTAAATAATAAAAGTAATGTTTTTATGCTTAAAAAGCCATGAGAAAAACTTAAATTTTCTTCTATTTCTATATAAAAAAGCATATAACCATTAAAATTTCTTAAGATTATTACTCTATCATTTAATAATTTAAAAGTTTATTCTTGCATCTTTATTAACAAACTAGCGGTTGGCGCTTGCTTTGCAATGCATTAGTCCAACTATTTTAATGTAGTTCTTATATTACAAAATAGTTTAAAAGGAAGGTAACAACAATCTACATATATAAATATGTCTTCATGACCTAAGCATGAATTTTAAGAATGTAATATAATAGAATAGAGTAATAAATTTTAGAAATAAAATGCATCTAAAGATGCATGCATTGAAAAATATCCATTCATTGAATAGTGAAATTCAAGATGTAACCTTCTTCAATTGAATGGTAAGTTGTCTCAATTTAGAAAACATAATTGAACACCAAAAGAATGCAATTGGATGGAAGGGGACGTCGCCAAAGCGTGCATGAACCCTAAACATACAGAGTTTGAAACAAACTCTTAACTTTTCCATCCACCTGATTCAGGTGTAAATATTTATAGGAATTTATATGACAATGTCATGTAAAAACCTCATGATAAACAATGTTTTTAACCGTTCCCACGGCTTCATTGTTGTCATTGGCAACCTTAATGTTTGCAGGATGTCTACTACGAGACAATGCCACATATAATTGACCATGGCTAAATACTTCATTGCGAAGATAAATGCCAACTCGATCATATGATTGGCCCTGCGATTTGTTGATTGTCATGGCAAAAACACCAGTGACAGGAAATTGTCTCCGGCAAAGTGTGAATGGCAAGCGGCTATCGTTGCAATGATGTGTGATTTTAGGAATCAATACCTCTTGGCTATGATAGCGTCCTTCTACAATTTCATATAACAACACACTAGAAGACACTTGCAAAAGATGCAAATGACTACCATTGCACAAACCTTTTGCCGGATTCAAGTTCCTTAGCAACATCAAATATTGGCCACATTTAAGACTTAATTGGTGAGGAGGCAAACCGCTCAATTGTAAAGAATTCAAAAACTCTACTGGGTAATGATGGGCATGTTCATCATTCTCGTGAACAAAATCAGCACTAAAACATTGATGCACATCACCAGGTATACGATCGGTGATTTTTCGGTTGATTTCTTGGGCATCATCATTCCGGACAGCCAAAATGACGCGCTCAGAAAAATCAACCGGATCATCAAAAATAGCATCAATGAGACCATCTAAAGAATTTCCAGGAGCAACTAATCCTAGCGGTAAATCTACCTTTGGACCGGTTTTGCCCTCACCAATATCTAACAAAAATCGTTGAAAGTCCCGTTGACTTTGCAAACGCATGTTAGTGGTCAAATGAAAATATTGCATTAGTGGAAATAGGTATGAATGTCACAAGCAAGCTTGAACAGTTTGCTTGCGACCTCCACGTACAACTACAGGCAAAGTTTGGCGAAAATCACCGCCATATAATACTACAACACCACCATTTGAACTATCTATATTGCGTATATCTCGCAATGATCTGTCTATAGCTTCAAACATAAAACGATGCCCAGCACAAGCTTCATCAAGTACAATCAATTGTACTTCACGTAAGCTTTGACCTAATGTAGACTGGGCATTAATGTTACAAATTGATGCATCGTGCAACTGTAAAGGAATAGCAAGAGCTGAATGTGCCGTTCGCCCTTCATTCAAAAGGCATGCGGCAATTCCACTTGTTGCATTGCCATACACTTGACATTACGACCACAAAGATAACCCAATATGGTGTTATACAAAAAGGTCTTACCTGTACCACCAGGACCATCTAAAAAGAAAAGCCGATCTGGAGAATCAGAATTTAAAACGGCAGTGGTCACCGCATTAAAAACAATGTATTGTTCTTCGTTGAGCCTACCTACATCCTCCTCTAGAAAAGTAATGTTTTGGTTATCAAAATCAATATTGTCATTGGAATCACCGCCAACATCAACAATGTTTGAATAACCAAACTCATTCAATTCTTCGATATTAAAAAAATCTGTAAGATGTTTGTCTGATGATGACAAATATTCTTCAATGGACAAAATTGCTTTGCAATAGCGATTTTGATCATTGCGCCAATCATCAGACATAGCATCAAGATGTGTCTTTAGTAAGCTAAGAGGATCTAGCGGTTGTCCAAACACAAAAAGTGTTGCAAACAACCGCCGAACTTGTTTAGGCAATGCAATGACAGTTGCCTCTTGCAAACAATTTTTCCATTCAGAATCATCTTGTAAAAGTCCTCTTGTAATACAAGCGGCCTTGTACGTTGGATGCACTATATCATGAAAACAAAGTAGGTCCTCAAATGAAGTTGGTGCCTCGACATGAAACAACAACAAATGCAAGTAAAATACTTCGGTACCTATGAGAACCATGTTTATCCGACCAAAAACTTTTATCTTACGTACTCTTCTTTCCCACATGTTATTCTTTACATCCCACTTGTAATAGATTGGAAGATCCATGTAACGAAGAAGCATATGGTTGCTTTGATTGCCAGAAGCAATTAAGGCACGAATATGGCAATTAAGCTCAAAAAACTTGGTGAGTTTAGTCTCAGCATTTTGATCAATCACCGAGTGCAAAGATGTTCCTTCCTTAAAAGTAACATATTGCTGACCGGGAAGGTGAACAGGCAAACGACAAATACTATGGCTCTTATTATTAGTTTCAAAACCAAAGAGCCTCCAACATGCTTCTTGAGCGGCCACACAACGACCCTCCAAGAAATCCTTAATCTCATCTACCACTTCATCTGTTTCTACAACACCACGATCTGGACCTTTAAAAATATACTTGTGGAGGTATTTGACAGTTTTTACAGAACTGCAAATTTCCACATTAATGTGACAATTAAACCGACCTATCAAATATGGATTGTATGGCACAACCCATCGATTGTCTAAACGGACAATTTGTCCACGTACATGTTTCTCGATATATCGACCTTGATTTCGACCACGGTACAAAATATGTCCGTCACCATCCACCTCGGTAGTATCTCGAGCTTGCATCCGATAGTTCTTTGTACATCTATCGTCTTCCATGCATGGACAATTGGGATTGTCCAAACCACATGGTCCATGCATCATGTGCTTGGCAACCGCGGCATACAATTACGGTTGTCTATCTAAATCGGGAATCTCCGTACATACTATCCTATCTACAAGGTCACAGTCATTGACCTTGTCTTTCAACCAAAGAAGAATGTGTGCATGAGGAAGACCACGTTTTTGAAACTCAATAGTGTAACAAAAAGCAATTGTCTCTCCCATGACATTCTTCTTCGTAATCTCATCCATCAATGCTCTTAACTTGAGCTCGAAAACACGCACAATAATATCTGGACGATCAGGAGGACTTTGACCTGGCTCAAGCTCATCAAGAATCTCAGGCCAGGTCGGATTACATGTCATTGTCACAAACAAATCGGGTTTTCCTAAAACTCTAACCAAAACCATACTATCATGAAAGAGTTTTTGCATGTATCGGGGGGAATCAATGAATGTTGCAGGTAAGACAATGCGACGCCTAATGCGTGCTCCATTGTCTTCCTGCAAAGCATCTACGACCCCGTAATAGCACTCTACACGAAGTTCAGTTTGATGTTGCCTAATGAAAAGCAAATTTTCATGTTCTACACGTAAATACTGATCCACTACATATTCCTGGAATAATCTACCAGCCTTATGTAATACATTAGATTCTGGGCGCTTTTGAAGCAAATATTGGACATATGACTTTAAAGTCACTCCAGTATCTGCTTTAAAAGTTGCTGACCACCCACATCGCCCATCAGGAAACAACAAAGGATAGGATAGAGCATCGTAAGCTGGATGAATTTCTTTTATTCGTATTAAATCTCCACCACGTTGGTGAAGAATAATATCTCTACCAAAATTCATGTATTGTTCATCAAGAACAACAGCAGCAACTTCTGAAACTACTTGGCGATTATATCGACGGGGATGTTCACCAAAAGAAACCTCACCAGAGATACGAAGTTCCATGTTTTGTCCCCTTTGAAGAACATCACGTGAAGACTTAAAACCACGAACCAACGCATTTATGGATTCTAAAACTTCTTGAATGTTGTTAACAACATCACGATGAAGATCATCAAAAATCTCCATACGACGATTTGTTTGTAAACCATCATCCAAGAAATAAATTTGTGCAAATCTAGCACCTTCATCTAAATCGGGTTGTAAATTTCTAATGTAATGGCATAACTCTCCGTTCACACAAAAAGTATATACCCCTCTACCTTCAACTTGGCCAGACTGAAACTTACTACGCATACTTGTAAATGCAAAAGCTTGATTATACTTTCGAATGGATTTAAGGAACTCTCGAGATTTAGGTGTTGTGCCCATATAAAGCTCATTGAGCATTGGATGGACAATGGGGTGATTAACATGTTCATTGGCAATTTTGCCATTGTAACAACAAATGGTATTTTTTTCTTTTTTAAAACGAAAAGCCAAACATTTTGGACATTGGATGCACATTGATCCAACACTATCAACATTGACATCTACAAAATTATCAATGGTAGACAAAGCACGAGCCATTTTCTAGAAAGATGACAATATAATAAAAAAAGTGGAATTTAGGATAGGAGAATGAAGACCCTATCATAAATTCTAAACTCCACAAAGATGAAAAGATATATCAATAAATAGGATTTAGTGTAGGATAGAAGAAATCCTACCCTAAATCCTAAACTCTACAAAGATTGAAAAAATTGATAAGAAAAAGCAGAGTTTAATGTAGGATAACAAAAATCCTAACGTGAATCCCAAACCATTTCAAAACTCACAAAAGTAAGGTTTTTGATAGTACCTTTGTAAGCTTGTGCTCCAAGAAAGTTGCACCTTTTGATGAAATTTCACTCCACTCTAAAAAGTTTATGTTCAATGCACTACACTTCAAAGAAAAAAAATAGATTAGGTTGGCGCTTGCTTTGCAACACATTCGTAGCCAAGAGGTATTGATCTAACACACAAAAAACATGCATGAAAACAAATGTGATGAACATATTCTCAAGCCATACTCTACCTCCAAAGTTTAGACTCTAAATTTTTTTTTTTGAAGACACTTAAAAATGTCGATTTTTGAAAACTTTTGTCACAAATCAATTTCTTTCCTACTATATGAAAATGCACCTAAAAAGTCCAAATCCGAAGTCGGAATTCAAAAATAATTAGTATTTTGGGAGATATTAACTCACTGTTAAATGAATTCTGCCCAAAATACAATTTCATCTACAATGGATGAAAAATCGCACAGCGGATGAAAACCATGCAGCACATGAAAATTGCAGCAGATGAAAAATCGCACAGCGGATGAAAAATCACAGCGGATGAAAAATCACAGCGGATGAAAACTCACGCTACGGATGAAAAATTACAGCGGATGAAAAATTGTTGGGCAAAAAAAAAAAAAAAGTTAAAAAAAGTAAAAGTAAAAGTTTCGGCGATGTGCACATCACAGAACAGCAGCTGCTCGTTTTTGAGTCCTTGAGTTTTTTGTTTGGTTTTTTGCAACTAAAACCACTAAATTTCAACTTGATTTGAAAGTTTAATGTTTGAAAACTTGATTTTATGATTACCCAAAATCAAAAATTACCAAAAATTTCAATCTTTCAAAACCTTTCAATCTTTCACAATCTTGAAAAAATTGCAATCTCACCTCAAATTTCTTGAACAATCTCCACAACTTGAACTTTGTAACTCCAACTCCAACTCCAACTTTGTATTCAAACCTCCAAGATCACATCAACCAACTCCAACTCCAACTTTGTATTCAAACCTCCAAGATCACATCAACCAACTCCAACTCCAACTTCACAACTTACAACTTCCAACTTACAACTTCCAACTTACAACTTCCAACTTACAACTCACAATTTACAACTCAATCTTGAAGTGCACAATCCAAAAAATGTTTTGAACATCAAATTTGTAATCAAGAGCTTCAAAATTGTAATCAAGAGTTTCAAATTTGTTTTGGATAAGCTCAAATTGTAACACACACTTTGAATTGCACACACCCACAAACTCAACGTTCAAATTTCAAAACCGCGCAGTAATAAACGGAGCAGTCAACCGCGCAGTCAACAAAAGTAAAAGTAAAAATAAAAGTCACAACCACAGTAAAAGTAAAAGTCACAGTAAATGTAAAAGTAAAAGTCACAGTAAAGGTAAAAGTAAAAAGTCACAGTAAAAAGAAAAGGAAAAGGAAAAGTATAGTTGACTTTTGATAGGGCTTATGATTTTAGTAGTATGATAGTGATAATTACAACATTTATATCAATATTGATCTTGTTTTATTTTATTGACACAAAAGAAATATATTCTTTGCATTAGTTGGTAGTAGTTAAAGAAATTAAAGACTTTCAAGCTCTTAATATTCTATGTCTAGGACAAAATTCAAAGCAAAGTACTAGTTTATCTAATTAATCTTGATTAGTTTATATCCTTGACCTCATAGACTACTAAAATTTATGATTGTATTATAAAATTCTATTCAATTATCATCTCTATTTTTATTTAATTTTTTTTTTTTGCCATCCAAGTTATATATGAACTTTGCAATGAGGCTCTACTTCCATTAAGTTGGTGTTTTATTTTATTTTTCTTGAAGATAATCTATAAAAATTTCCTTTGTTCTTCAAAGTTTGTTCAATTATATTATTTTATCTAAAGATCACTCCATATCTTATTATTAAATACTATAGTATTACTTTGCATCAAAAAAATTCAAATACAAAATCTCTACATAAAGATATTTTTTTCTAAATATTTTAAAATTTAGGAAGATTTTATATTCAAAATAATTTTTTCTATAATTTTTTTTACCAGCATTAACTTCTAGAAATTGTAGCTAGTTTATATAATATAAATTTTGCACAATTCTATATACTTTTAGCTTAAGGACATATTCAAAATTTGTTTATTATTCTTTGAAGAAGATATTGTGGACTTATTCAATAAGGGATTATTGTACTTGAATTAGATTGAATAAGATTGGGCTATCAATATATTAATTCTAATCCATCTACAATAAATTAATTATACCTTCTTTATATTATTGTGATATGAACCATATATCTTTTTAATTTCACTTTAAAATTATATTTAATTTATCTCTATACCTTGTAGAGGTTAAGTCCAAATAAGAATATTATATTTTTTAAAGTTTCTATCTCAATTTAGTTGTGTAAGTAAGATATTTTAATTCTTTATTATTATTATTACAAAAAGCATCATTTTATTTTCTTTTATCTATTATAACATAATGATATGGATTGAATCTTAGAAAGTTTCGAATTTTATTTTTAAAAAATATGATTTTTTTAATGAAATAACTTTTAATCCATAACTTGCACCAAAAAATATTAAATTTTATTTAATAATATTTTTATAGTTTATTTTATATTTGGTCCATCAAAAATTGATCTATGTCTTGCATGGAGGTGTTTGAAAGGAATATGTTTTAAAAATAGTATTAAGATATTTAGATACTTTGATATTTTAATCTCATGGCCATTTTTATGAAGCTGCTTATAGAAGAGTTAAATTATTCTTATACTTTTAATTTGATATTGACTTGAATTAGTTAATGTCTAATTTAAATGCCATGCTAAATTCTTGAAGGATTTTAATTGCTTTAACTATCAAGGATTCATCTTTTCTAATAGTAAAGATTGAATTATTTATATATTGACTTAAAATTTGGTGTTTCTCATCTAGGTAGTTTAACATCATAAATATTATTTTTCTTTATTTTATTTATAAAATCATATTTTAGTATTTTACCTAAAATAAAGAATTAGTCTAGGACAAATAGAAAATCTTCCGTGTGACTTCTTTGCAACTAGAAACAATCTAATATGTTGCCATTAACAAAAACCGATGCTTGATTTTTAATTAATAATAGTTTTATTATAGAAACCAAGTGAGAATTAATATCGATTTTTTATATTGCTATCAAGAAGAAATTCCCTGCTACTTTATAATATTCTTTGGAGAGGTCAAATATTAAAAATAAAAGTGATTGGTTAGAGATTTTAGTTTAGTTGATAATTTCTTGTATAATAAGATTTTTTTCTAAAATATGTTTCAAAGACAAAGAGGCTATATGAACAAGATATATAATTTTTATTAAAATTTATTGAAGTCTATTTTAAAAGATTTTAGGAATTATTTTATATAAAGTATTAATTAATATGATAAATAACTCCATCTTCTCTTTTGTATAGAAGTATTATAAGTATCTAATTACTTTATTAGAAAATCACTTCTTCAAAATGTCATCATTTATTTTATGATTCTTTAATTTCTTATTAAATTTCATTATAGTCTAGTGGATTTACAAAGTTTGTATTTGTTTGTTTAAAATCCTTACTTAAACATTTGTTAATATATTATCTATGAAGCGGGTTTATTTTTTTATTTTATTTTATTTTATTTTGATATAAAAAAGTATAGAAGTTATACCAAATCTGGTAAAATAATGGTGGGTTAATTACTTTTAATTTTGTACTTATCATAAAGTTCAAATATGTACAATTTGAGTTTTTTTCCTTTTTCTTTAGCTACTTAAAAAAAAACCTTTACTATTTTTTTTTATTTCTATCTATTTTCCTCTTTATTCTTGATCTTATCTTAAAAACCTTCTTCTTTCTATTCAACAAACTTTATTAGATGTTCTTGAACTTGTTTTAATTCTTTTTAAATCAATTTGTTTTGTAGGTCATTTTGAAGAGTTACATGGACTTTCTCTACCTTGTCTTTGTACTCTATGCTCTTTACAATTTGAAGAATACTTGATCTTTATAAAAAGCTTTGTGAAATCTCAAAAACTTTGTTATTCTGTAAAAATAAATAAATTTGATATAAATATGATTTCTATATTCGAATGACCCTCGATTAGACTGTAGGATCTTAGAGAGACTATGGATTGAATTTTTGGTCTAGAAATGGAAAAGTGCTTGACGAGCCAAAAAAACCATGATAAAGAAAGCAAGAAGGGAAGGGAAAAAGAAAGGAAGCAAACTGGTGATTAAGAAGCAAACCCACAGGCAAAACTGCGAAATGCTAACATTGCAAAACTATGGGATCGTGCC